ATTGTAAATGAAAGAGCGTCATCGAAAACCACTAAATCCAAGTTTTTAGTCCATTCTAACTTGCCCCTAAAAAGTTATGAAGTAAAAACTGAACAGACCTGCAACAAGTTTTTTGAAGAAAATTTTTTTTTATGCTGAACTTGGCTAGTCAGTACTTGATTATTTCCTTCATAGCAAGCTACCAGAATCTTTTCGAGTAATATCTCATTTGATAGAGCGAATTTTGCTCTACAAAATTGCAAATGCGGCCTTTTCTTCGACTTCCATTATGTAGGTACTACAGATGCAAAACAAGATCGGTCCTACTGATGTTTTCGTGTTTTTCTCGTTCTTTTTTTTAGTGAGAGCTGTATTTTTTTTTGCTAATGCTAACGGGTTCAGAATTTTTTTATGAATTTGCATAGAGCAAACAAAGGACTATCCAATGCCCTACGCTATGGGTCTCAATCCAGGTTTGCCAACGCATATTCAACAAGCAATGATCAGACAAGAAGCTGAACGAAGAACACAATTAAGATCCGACGAGAAAATGTAGATACCTTAGAGATGACGAACATTTGATTTGGAGCAGGGATTGAATCGATAATCAAGCATTTTCTTTTTTGAAGTTATAAAATTTTTTAATTTAAAATATAAACCAGATTTTACTATAAGCTTTGCCTGTTTTTTGATAATCATGTAAAGCCCGTTGGTCTTCCGTATAAGATGAAATCATTTTGTTGTTTGGTAATAGAAAAAAATGTACTGACAAGGAAATTTTTTACTTTAAAATAACTACTATCCAAATAGTTTTATCGAAAATTTTTGAAACATTAATAAATAGGTTTTATTTGTTCAGTTTCATTTGAGAAAAAAAAGATTGACTTCGGAACGAAAAGTGTGCACTTCTTTCCAGAAAATAATACAAGATATATGAAGATATTTGAGAGCATTTTCTTTTTTTTTATTCATATTCAATAATGCATCGTATTATAATCACTGATATCTTATGTCTGATGCAAACGTAAATGTATCATATTGTTGATTGACGTACCAATTTTGTAAATTTTTTCCATCCGAAAAGAGCATTCAGAAATAACAAGAATCAGTTTTTCGTGATCCACAACTTTTACTCTATCAAACCATTCTTGAAATTCTTCATTATGATATATTGGATCATTATTTGAGTAAACAACAACAAAATTCATTACGTTAAGCTCTTCACTCAATTAAATAACAAATGGAAATGGCGAAGATGTTAATAATTCAAATCGATCTTTCCTCAATCAACAACTAGTGGAACTTTTAGATCGATGAAATCCAATATATTTCATATGATGAAACATTGATCTGAAAAATGACAAATTTTAAAAAGAAAATGAATAAGTTCAAACACTTTGATTTATGTGTTCTCAAGAAATAGTACAATTGATAAAAATCATTTCAGACCTGAATGCTTTGATGAAATGAATCATTCATAACATCGAATCATCAGATATCTTTGCCCAATGGTTTCTTCCTTTAATTTCTAGTTAGTGTATGGTCAGAACGACAAACTTCGACACTTTGCTAAACATAGGTGTGCCACTGTATCATCGAAGTAAAATTTTCCTAAAAAAAGTGACGTTACGTTGAAATTGAATCTAAAAATTTATACAGATTCTATAAAAAATTTGGAGAAACTAAGAACTTCATTAGTTTTAGTCTAAACGTTCGTTAAAGAATAAAAAATATTTTCATTATAGAAAACTGGTTTTCTGAAAAACGTGCATTGGCATGGGTGTAGGTGGTTGTGATTCTTGCGTTTGCTCACACACACACCCTCGGAATTTATGTTTTTCGGATTTATTGGGAATTTTTAATGGGTCCTTATGTATTTTGGAATAAATTTCACACAATTTCTCAATACATGCGCGCATACCTGCAGTGTGAATACACTGAAATATTGACACAGTTAATAAATCTTAATAAATCCCAAAAAAATTAATTCCGGTATACCCTCTTGATCCTTCAACTTCACTACGTCGGCAATGATGTTAGCACTATGATCGCCAAAAAAATATTAAACATGACGTATTTGTAATAAAGAAATGCATAACAAAAGAGTTATAGTAGCAAATGCAAAAGACAATTATGTATATATATACAAAAAAATCATCAGACTTTTACCGATGAATTCATCGATTATAAATTTGTTCTTTGACCAGAAAACTAAGATTGATCTCTTCGACTATATCACAACAAGAATACATAAGACACATTGCTGATTATACGATACACTTCTACTTCTTTAAACGTGATTTCTTTTTTATAAATTGCTTCTTCATTATAAAACAAAACTGAATATTTATTATATTTGTTCAAAGAATAATATAGCAATATTAGTATGTTATTTCGTGGCTCTATCCAATAAAACATTGAGTGTATTCTGTAAAGTCTTCATACAATAATTAATATTCTTTAATTCTTCGTCGATTTTCTTTATATCATTTTTAATAGTCACTATTTACTCTATTATTTCTCTGGTTTTCACACTTGTATCGCGATATATAGTCATCAAATCAGTAAGATCTACACAAATGTCAATTGAATTTTGTTGATCCTGTCTGATGTTTTTGAAGAGAATGTATTGATCGAAATACTTTTCGTTGAGTCAAAAGATATTCAATAGATGTAGATTTATTTCGACGTTTTAAATACCAGACTTTAAGGGGATCCTCTCCCCAAAAAATCTCGATTTTTGTCAAATTTGTCGATTTTGTCATTTATAAATCGTTAGATGAACCTAAGTGTCTACTTTTGAATGCATTATAGTTTATTGATTTTATGATGAGATTTAAGGATATTGCACAGGCTTTTCTGAACCTCTCATAGAAGAAAATAAGGTTTTTTCTCAAAACAAGAGTTTTGATATTTATGTTTCCGTGCGTCCCAGTTTTCTCCACCATTTTAAACGCTAGAAAGCTGGGTATGGTGTCAAAATGAAGGAAAAAATTAGCTCGACAACTTAACAGAGTCAAATTTTTCGATTTCCTCATTAGTGTTTATAAGAAACTAACTTTTCTGGACCTATCCTCATCGGCTTTTTCATATTTTATCAGAGAAATCTTCTAAAAATACAAGCTAGGAGTGAATCGAGAAATCGGGCCCTGTTAAGTTGTAGAGCCACATATTGGCTACATTTTAAAGCCAGCTCGAACATTCTAGCATTGGAAATGGTGGAGAAATTTGGGACGCACGCAAACCTAAATTTTGACCCATAACCTGTCTAGCTCGAGATACACCTCCACTGAAAATTTCATTGTGATTGGATGCTCGAAAAAAAAATTGATTTTAGAGAGAGGGGGCCCCTTTAAAGAGAATTTCTCAACAACAAAGAAATAAAAGGTTACCTGTTCTTCAAGCTTTGAAAGAAAAGAGAGGTGATGCTTGAGGGTTTCGTTACAGGTAGCATAGTAAGCCACGTGTTCTTGCTTTTCTTTTAACGAGTATTGTGCGCAATACTCCTTCTCTAGCAATAAATAGAGAATGTCGTTCTTACATTTTAAGAAAAAGTTGTGTGAGCACAATAACGTCTGTCTTAAAAGCTGTCGTGATAAACTTGCACGTAGCAACTTCTCACGCTAAAAAGTTTTATGTGAGTATACATTTCTCAAACTCCTTCAGCTTGCTGAGAAGACAGATCAACTCTTGAATCAAGAATACTGACAATGTTTCATCGTTCGCTAATACAAAGAGTGGTATGCATAAGTTGGAGTACAATAACGCATGCATTGCTCCGTAATAAAGGACACCATAAAACACGTGTCGTCTGCCCAGAAAGAAAGCAACAGTAAACGTCACTGCTTATCGCATTATATTTTCGACACATTCACAGTGTAGTTATTTTTCGTTGTTCTTAAGCAACAGAACAACATAAAGCGTTGTATAAGATGAGATAGAAGTGAAACAAAATTGCGCATGTTTTTAATCAGTAGAGACGATCATTTTTCATAACACACGATCATAATCAAACTCTACTCCCAAACCATGTGTTACGCTTCCCTCTACTACACAGTCGATCGATGAATAGCACCAAAACAAAGTTCGTTCTTAGAATAGCTTTGAATCCACCGAGTGCTTTGTCAGCTTTTATGCACGATTCCCAACTAACTTGCAATGACTCATTTCGATCCCGATGGTCCCATTGGACTTTTAGCCATACCAGATATAAAGTACTCAAACTAGGATCGTGATTCGGACTGATAAAACCATCTTAATCATGCGGGGGATCGCTCCAACATCCATAGGTGCTATAACATGCGTCACTTATGTGGCGTGGTCTCTTATAACATCGAGACTTTTCGAATGCTTTTTTGATGCATAGAATAGGCAGACTTAATTGTGTCGGAAAAAAACATTCCTTTAATAAATCCTTTGTAACTCAAGTTCTCGACATCCTACAAAATTGTAATTTAGTTTCCCGGACAGAGTAAACAATACTCTATCGATTGATATATAGTTCATTAGAAAATAATTGGGCAATGTCTAGGAAACAAAACATCAAAATACGACAGGAGTCAGTTATTGTCGAATTTTGACACTTTGTCTCGTGGACATTAACCAATTATTTTCTAATGAATTTTATATCAATCGATAGAGAATTATTTGCTCTATCCGGGAAACTATATTGCAACTTTGTACGATGTTGAGGATTTGAGTCACAAACGATTTATTAAAAGAGTGTTTTTTTCCTGGGCAATTAGGCCTACCTACTCTATATCGTATTAGCTGTCGTTATTTGGTATGTGCTTGTTAATTTGTTCATATCTTGTATCTGTTTCTTCCATGTTTTACTTTTGCCTCGTAATTAATTTAGGATACATGATCATCAACCAACTGCATTGCCAGATACAATTCAACTAAGAATCTACGAATTAAATCTATATATCAACGACAGCCAACGGACAAACTAAAACATCGCCTTAAACAGTTTACTTTAAGAACATCACTTTATCGTGCCTTCTTTCTAATTCTGATAGATGTTTATCAAGACTGAAGCTGGTGAACAGATCTCTATTGACGTAATCTCCTTCTCTCTTTTTATTCTACAAAACATAAAAGTGTCGCTTTGTAATCCTTAGATTGGAACATTAAATACGATCAGAGATGTGAAGAAGAAGATTCGACATAAGATGGGTATTCCTGTCAACAACCAACTGTTAGTCGCTAACGATGCAGAATTGGAAGACGATCGAACTCTTTCTGACTGCGGTATTGACAACAGTTCCGTCGTCTTTCTAATTTCAATGCACATTGGATTAAGTGGCACGAACCATACGTCGGTCAGTATGCGTCAGATGTCGTTAGAAATATTCAAAACGAGAACTTAATGCAAACTGTTTTTGTTCTGACTTGTTGAGCTCACATCATCACTGACATACTGTATATTTACAGATTCGATGCAGTTGATAACTCATTGATTATGATAGAGGATAGATGAAAAAACATCGTTGTACTAAAGAACTTTATTTAATAATATCACTTCAAATTTATGTCGATTTTTTTCTTTTAGAAGCTCACTGTCAAGACCGAGGACGGCGGTAGAATTACACTTGATGTAATTTTGTTCTTGTTTTTATTCCACAATAGGTGAATGATGCTAGTTCTTTTTTAATCATTAGATCGAACCATCTTGGACAATCAGGGACGTGAAAAAGAAGATTCAAGATCAAGAAGGTATTTTACCCGAACAGCAACTTATAGTAATTAACGATGCAGAGGTCGATGATCATCGAGCTGTTTCCTACTATAATATCGGCAATGATTCTAGCATTCATTTGATTAAAATGGGCGATGCGACGACTATTGTTGCTCATCCTCCGGTGAGTATGTGTGAGATATAATTCCAAATCGCCAAGACATGAATTTATCACATAAAGAAACGGTTAACCGATTGATCCATCGCCAGTGGAACAAAAATTGATCACTAAATCCAGTTTATTGCGCTTCGGGAAACGTTCGAAGACATGTTTCCCACAAAAATCTCGGAATGTTTACGATAACGACTAGAAATCGAATGAAAATCATTTGCAAGTTGAGGAAAGGGTAGAATTGATGAGCACTGTAAATATTTAGAAGCGCTTGATAAGAAAGTATTGAGAGTTAGCAGCAATCGGTAAATACTAATAAAAATAATGAAAAAATGAACTTTAAGTTTGAGTTTCTCACCTCCAGTGTGTTCATAAGAGTATCAAACATGACTAATAGCGTCAAGAAACTCGTTCTGAAATTTTGATTAAACAGACTGACGACCAATGAATATTCGTTGGATTTGTCCTTTCAAAGCCGATGACAATGAGAGAAATGCATTCGTTGTGCATATAGAAGTTATATATTTTGGATGATTTGATCGGTATACAAGAGCTTTGTGAAGGGTGATCTTAAAAACTGTTTATACAAAGAAAATAACAACAACGCTTTCAAGAAACTAACAAGGTTGGTCCTATGAAAAATATCTCTACATTGGAACTTCAATTCAATGTTTTCGATATCATTTGTTGCCTCGAAAGTATACCTTCAGAATAGATTGATAGGCGTCGAAGAAAAACTTTTATTGCTCACTTTAGAAAGTTATTCTTCTGAACGACTTATGGCAAGACAATCACGAATTAGATGTTGCAATTTGTTTTTCTTCATTCTTAGTTTTACATCAGTAAAGAATGTAACGAGTTCCGCGAGTTTAGTCCGATTTCAATCAGAATGGTCTTATTAGATGAAGATTGAAAAACAAAGAGAAGTTAACATTAGTATTTTCTTATATAACAGATGTGCGATATGCGAGAGAATCATGCAATCGGACAATGTAAAAATGCTTGACATCACTTCGTACTGAATGTTCGTTCTCTGAACACGCTATTGCATTCAAATGTGAAGTTTCTCATAAGTGATTAGTAAATTTTTCATGATTTATGATAAATCGAATAGCCAGTTGATTCACATCATTTGAACCAATACTAAAGATGCAATTTTAAACCATTTGTCATATTTAGGTTGTTCCAAGTGCAACGGCAAATGTTACTAGTGCACTGACACCTCTCTCTGATTTCTATGTGGCTTGTCAGGATAATGATGTTACGAAACTTCGACAACTTCTTCAAACACTTTCGGTTGAGGAAATGAATAAACTGGAACCAAATGGAAGCACGGCTCTTCACGTCGCTTGTTTTAGAGGACATCGAGAGGTGGTTAAATTACTTCTGAAGAAAGGAGTCAGTCGAAGTATCATGAACAAATACAAGTGTTTGCCGTACGAAGAAGCTGCGTCAAATAAAATTAGAGAACTTTTCGAACGTATACCCGGAAAGGACCGCTATGTGGCAAATTCCGGTAGAGTGGAATGGCTTCTAGTCGCCTCGAATGCACATGCAATGGCAGCTAGGAACATTGAGGCTGCAAAGGAATATGGAGTCCAACAATTTGAACCCGGTGCGAAACAAATAATGAATAATTACATCAAACCTCGTTTTCGAGATGTTGAAAACTACGATGAACTCTTACAATTTTTCAAAATGGCTCTCAGTGAAAAAGAGCCAAGATATCTTCTCAAAGCTTATACAGCAGAAACAGGCTTTTACACAAGACTCAACGTCGACTTAGCCAGTGAAACTGATGTCGGAAAATTGGAACGTCAAATCTACATTGGTATTCTTGCTTTTAATCCCTGCTTTGATCGATATCGTTTCAGTGGTGAGGCGTATCGTGGAATGCGTCTTACAGAAGACGACCTTAAAGAGTATGCAAGGGGAAAGCAAGTAATGATTAAATCATTTCTCTCGGCGACAACCGATAAAGGACAAGCGGAGTTTTTCGTGGGAAAAATTGAGCGAAATAATATTCATGGCGAACCGGTGAAAATGGGCGTCATGTGCACTTACATTATTCGAGATAAACGAAGTAGTCTGGACGTTCATCGTATATCTGAATATCCTAAAGAAAGAGAAGTACTCATCTTTCCCTACTCTGTCTTCACTGTAACCAATATCCAAAGGAGTTCGCAGGCCGACGACGATGAAAATATCGATATCACTCTTACGCAACACTACACAGGCCACACATAGTGACCAGCAAGATTCGCATAATCACGATCATTATTACAAATAGAATTCCAATCGGAAGCCAAAACATATCTCGAAGTGACTATTCTCAACTATTTATTATCATCGTTGTATGAATTCAATTTTGTTTTTCTTTTTGCACAAGAATAAAAGGTTCTAGATTGGTGTATATTCATGTTTTTCCAGTTGAAGTGCAACATATATGAATCGAATGCTTGTACTTTGAATCGAATCTATAAATTCGATTTGTTGAGACTGTGAGATCGATGTTTGTAGCATTTTTTTCATCAACGCTCACATCCTTAAGCTTTTCGAAAACAATTCGTTTTCCTTTTTCATCAGCGAAGAAACTAAGGAGATACTTGCAAAGTTCTTGTTTAAAAGTAGAATATTCTCATTGTGCTTTTCTCAACACTACTATCTCCATTCTTCGAAAATTGTTGTATTCAATTATATATAATCCTATCGAATGCTATGAACGCTTGTTATATCGGATTCAGATCATTAGAATCTTGGCTTGTGTCAAAAGAAATAGAAGACCTCAGTTTCTCAGAACATAAATATGTATTACCTTATGTATATTGCTACCATGGAACTTGATCGTCTTCTTTTCAACGCTTCCATTTTTCAGAAACAGATTATTCATCAAGTATTATAGCAGGAAGGAAGTCTCTCCTTAGCCGATATGATCACAAAAAAATACAAGTGGCGCCGCGTCAATTGCATTCGACAATGATTCGCGTATTAGTAAATCAAGGATTAGAGTAGAAGATGTAATTTGACAGAAATAGTTATCGAAGTCAGTCGCATCTTACATTTATTTCTCTTTCTTTCTGTTCTCCTTTGATTTTATTTTCGTTATTTTTCTTTCGACGTTTTTTACTTCGTCATTTTAGTGTTTCGCTATTTGAACACGTATTCATCTGATCCATCTAATTTTTTTTTTTGCAATTTTCGAATATCTACAGGTGAGTAGACATTGAGAATATATGTTTAATGAGTAACAACTAAGCTGTCATCCAAAATTTATTTTACTCAATTAGCAACATTAGTTTTTGAAAAAGTGCGTTGTTGAAAAAAATATTAAAGATTAAAATAATTTCATCAGATATGTTTCCTTTCACTCTTTTGTTTGAATTTTCTCATTAAATATAGAAAAATGACGTCCAAGTCTAATTCAATATTAAGCTCAATAAAACACATATAATAAAATTATTTTAATATTTGATATTCCACGTTAAATTCAACAAATGATGAAATAAATTTTCTTTAAAAACGCTAAGTTAATAACATTGGTGATTGATCGTCAAATTCTAAGGTAATTTTCTTTCAATAAATCTCTATTTAATCAATAGGCTACAGTAAAACCAATGAAGATTTTATAAATAGTCTGATTTTTTAATTACTTCAAGTAATTTTGAAATACAACACTGATAAATCATGAGAAAAATAAAATAAATTCATGAAATATTTTATATATTTATAAATATAGTCGAACATGATCAATATGAATTTATTTTAATTGTCTATTATATCATTATTTGTCATTTATGGAAATGTTCATTTTGAAGAAAAAATTTTTTCATTAAAAAAATCTTTTCTAATCAAGATGAGTATCAATATTTTTATTTATCGTAATTGATTATTTAAAACTAATATCAATATTGATTATCTCAGTGTAAATCAATAACTTTCATTATTTTTTTTATTTCCAGTAGTTCAAATTTCTCAGTAAAGAAATTGAAATTCGTAGATGTTTCAAATTAGATCTTTTAGATTGTGCATTTATTCAATTGTACATATAAATTATCTTTTTATTTCAAAAATGAATTTATGTACAAATACAAAAAAAAATTCGAGTTTTTCAATCAGATCTTCGTAATGAATTGAGAATATCGGCAACATCAGAATATAAAAATGATCAAGATAAAAATCAACATAATGAATAAAATAATACCATCTCGACAGTAAACATCATTGGAAACTTCTGATTCCGTACGAGAATTCAAATGTTAAATTGTCACATTTGATCGATTCTCATTTTATTACATAACGCATAATCTAGTAGATTGTTTGTTCTATTTTTTAACTTTTGTTTAATGTTCTAATGTCGATGTATGAATAGGGTGTGGGCCACAGTGGATAGGCAAGCGACAAAATCGATTTTCGAGACTCACATCCATATCGTAGCTAATATAGAAGCTACCATAGTGTTGCATTTAATTGCATACTGGATTCTATTTTATAACGAGTATCTGTTAAAAAACAGATACCATAAAGTACGTAAAACGGGTCAATATCATTAACGGGACCATATACGGAAGATATACGTTTTAAATTGATGATCTAATTATATTCATTAGTTGTTATACAGTTATACAGTGTTGTATATTTACTATATATTACAGGCCATTCGGACTTCTTAAAGTTCTTTAGGCCCAGTATAGTGAAAAATAGGTATTAGCCAGTAATACAACTCGTTTCCCAGATTTTTCTGGAGCTTCAATTCAAGTTATAGTTTGTTATTCGGTAGAGCATATGATCATCTATCTTCAGTGGATGCGCAAAGATGCACGTTTAAATCCTTGTTGAGATAGAGTGTTTCAAACATAAGAGTCGATGTGGATTTTTAGCACAATGTCGTGATCCCTCTCAGGTTCATCTGAAAAGTCAACTTTCGAATTTCGACTTGTAACTTTACGCAGAGAAAGATCTCAATGAGACTAGTTTATTCTGAAAGTTTGAAATCTCTTGGTTCTCCTATCCTTAAATATGAACATTTAACATTTTGTGCTATAAGTGATGTGAAAAAGACTATTTTTTTCCTATATTCGTATCTCGGAATAGAAGGAACCCAAAAATCCGAAACTTTCAGAATAAGCTAGTCCCATTAAGACATTTTTTTTTTAGATATATTTGCAAACTTTTGTTATGTCAAATGCGAAAACAACATAAAATTGGTTGTGAAAGTCTTTTTCTCGATTGATGGTAGTAGAACAAATTTGTAATGTTTCACAGTAATCATACTAAATATAAAACTGCCATGGTACGATTACAATGTTAAAGCCATAAATTAAACCAATCATCCTGATATTCAACTCCAAATGAGTCCTCTGTCAACAAATGAGTATTATCAATTAACCATTGTCGGAGATTTGTCTTTGCTTCATTCGATGGTGAACCAGCGACACTTAACGAAGGTAATTCTTCACTGTTCCAAGATTTTAGCAACGTTAGCGGGATCCAATCAATCAGTATTGCTGAATCTTTAGGAACAAGAACGAGATGATTAAGACTTTTAAACACTTTGACAATACGCTGTAATGAATCTGGTTCAATACCAGCCCATTCACAGATGTCCAGACGAATGATTTGTCGCTCAAATAGATCACAAATAGATTTGTTATCAAGTTGATGTATGAGACAATCGTGGTCAATACATAAATGGTTGAGGTTTGGTGACGCATTGATCAAGGTGAGTAGTTCAAATATTCCATAGACTTGCAATCTCTTGAGATATGGTAACCGGAGGACACTTTTTTCTGTGTCAGGCATCCTAGAAACTATGGAAAGAATGATTAGTTTGTAAATAAACTGAAGAACTTTTATTTTTCATTTTCGAAAACTCTACAATGTGTCATTCTTTTTGTTTTTGATCATTGTGAAGAATAGAGATAGAATATGGTCAATGGAAAAGCAGACTATTAGAAAAGATTTGAAAGAAATAAGAACCTTGTTAGAAGATTGAATGAATTGGATGTTATAAATTTGAATTTCATTTATTTACGATGATTTTTATTTGACTTTTTTTTTGCAAAAAAATCATACCTTTTTCCTAGTCTTAAATAACAAGTCATTATCAATCATTTGATTTTATAAAAATTATTTTGCTGTAGTTCAAATTAGCTCAGACTTTTCGCTTCTGCTGAAAATATAGAAGAAATAAACATAATTCTGATTTTGAACTACTAGTCTTATCTTTATTACCGTTTGTCAAAGAATACGAAATATGCTTTTGATATGTGTCCTTCAACTATATGCTACCGATTTTACCTAATTATATTTATTTAAACAAATACATACGAATTTCTGATGTGTTTTGAACATCAATCTCCAATGTGCGAATTCGATGAAAGTGTTGCAATATCAAAAATATTTCAGTAAGTGATGTTACATTGTAAATAGATAGATCTTTCACTTGCTGCATATATTGCCATCCTGGTGGCATTTGTTTACCAACGACTGCTGTTAGATTGATTGAACGTAAGTTACAAGGAATAGTGTAAAATAGAATACGTTGTTCTGCTTCATCCAATAAATATTTCATTGAGGAATCAGTTGTCCACGATTTAATCAATCGATCTATATCATTTTCTTGTTCAGACCAGTAGTATCGAATAAATAAATGAAGTTGTTGAATTGTAGAAGGGAAAACAATGGTAGTATGGTCATTATTGATTAAACGTTTGTCTTTTGTGCAAATATTGAGTGTCAACTTCTGCAAAGAAGGCATCAAACAAAGCATATCAGTAAGTTCATCGATTGTCCAGAAGAGATCGATTGAATGTAACTCAAAATCAGTGAGATAAACAAGAGACAATACATTAAGAAACTCATGTCTAGAAGCTGAACTTTCTGATATCTCGTTGAGATGCACACTTAAACGAGTCACATTTGGTACCAATTTGAAAAGATAAGATAACATTTGACGCTGTTTCAAGTTGATTGTTAGTTCTTTAATGTTCGGATAAGAAGTATCGTCATGCGGATAAGATAATTTCAAGTTAATAGAGTCCTGATCGAATGATATCGATACAAGTCTATTGTTATTGGCAGCTAAAGTTTTGTTAAGTAATGTTTCTTGTGCATTACCTTTGAGGAGTTGAATGTCAAGTTTGACAAGCCTCGAAAGATTTCGAAGATTATTAAGGAATAGCATAAGCTTTTCGCATGTGAACCATTTGAGCACCAAACGTTGCAGATATGGAAATGTATAGGATATTGGCAAACCAAAAAGAATAACGAAAGCTTTAGATGGCATCATTGTCTGCCAATTACCATTTAGTTGAAGAGATTGAGAAGAACAACCGATCTGAGGCAAGACTTGTGAGACGACATAATTAAATCTCTGATAGCTATAACCCGTTAAATGCAAATAACGATAATAATCTGTTATTGTTCTAGTGAGACGTGTATTCAAATTGGAAAAAGAATAGATAACATCGGTTCTACGAAGATATCGACAGACGTATAATATTATTTCGTCTGGTAACATCTCGAAAGTCATCAAATAGACATTCATCTAGAATAATCATTAATCATGTAAATTTTGTCGTATGATGTGATGAGTACCCATGTAAAAATATTTAGCTTAAGAATGAGCTTGACAATCGATTATAATGGTACTATTATAATCTAATTCTTAATCCAAATTTGTTTTACATGGGTATGATTCGAAACGATTCAACTAACCGTAAGTATATATAGCACAGCTTATGTGCGAGAAAAAAACAATTCTTTTTTTCTTTGCGTTATTTTTACTGTTTTGTACACTCATCGACTAGTTTATCGATATAAACTGTATAGCAGGAAGACGATAGTGTTGAGATTGGATAAAACAGTCTCTTATTTGAGTTCTATCTAACCTATTAATAATTTCTTGTAGTTGTCGCTTCACATCAATGATGGAGAGAACAAGATTAGAAGGCTTGATCGAATTATGCACATTTTGAATCGAAAAAAAGAAAATCTACTGAACATAAATAAAATAAGAATGGTGTATAGAACAATAAGAAGAAATGTGATCTATAACGAGGAAAAATAGCTTTAGATGTTGAAATAAAATCTCTGTAGATGTTGAGCACAATTTGATGATGAAAAATTAAAGTTTAACAAATTTAGTAATCGAATAGTTGGATAGAGTAATCATCTTTTTTTTTATTTCTGTTATCAGAAAAAAAGGACATGAAGAAAAACAGAGGCTAATATAAAGAAATTTAATGAATCGACAGCATTGATGATTCATTTCGTCAATTCATTAATAGATTACGCATAGATTGTATTCGAGAGTAATTATATATATATAATGTTGAATGTAACATTGAATCATTAATGTATTATTTGTCGATATTATAGAAATCAAATAACATGTTATTCTTTGATTATCTTTTCGATAAGATTTTCTATTTTTACATTCAACACAAGTGTAATTGTTCAACTTACTCATTTTCTCTCGAAAGTTTGTAATTTTCCAAACCAATGTTCCATCATATGAAACATATTGTGAATTATTGGCTTTTTCTGGCAATGATGATGAATCTTGATTATGTTTTGCTCCTTCCAATAAAGTATTTGATTCTTCAATGGATAATTTAATTATCAATAATTCTTCTGTCAATGTTGAAAATGTACTTGGCATTTGAAGTGATTCATTGTTGAGACGTTGTTCATCATTAGTCAATGTTTTGATGCCACCTACCAAGATATTGAGCATTTCATAAAGTTCTTTTAATTAAGCTGTAGCAGGATTATAAACTCCTGCAGTTGTTGTTCGAGGAAGGTCAGTATCCATTTGTCTATTGTTTAATTGCAATCACATTTGACGAACAACATTGAGTAGGGCATGTTGATGTTGTTTAGTCAAAAAAGGATCTTCCATTTTGGCACGGATAACCTAGAGAACATGACTTTTCCGATATCAATTTCATCTAGAAAATATTTATACTCATTCATTACAACCAAAATCTTTCAATAAACAGTCAACAATCAGTTGTTGACATTTGGAGACCTTATGTTCATTGAATTTGTCAACTGAATTGAACTGTTCACCACAATCTTCACATTTGACATTTGAATGTGATTGATCAAGATGTTTCTTTGAAAGAAAAAGGAAAGAAGGTTCCGAAATAAAATAAATATAAAATAAATTACTTGATAATTATTTAAGACATCAGTCCATTGACAAAAAGAACAATTAATAGGTAGTGATTTCATATCATTTTTGAAGCCTCGATCAAGTCGTACCTACCTACACAAAAGAAATATTATTTTCTCCTTAATTATGAAAAGATGTCTTGCATCGCTTGGTAATGTTTCTGTTGAACATTGTTGACATTTAATTATCTCTCTTAAAAAAGAAAAATGAAGAATAATACTTCAAATTGATAATGAAATATACTCTTGTTCAATATTTAAATATGTTTGACATAGGCGATGACCACATTCAGTCAGTTGTACAGGATCCCCGTCGTATCAATGAACACGCAGGACAAATATATTTTGTATCAAAAATATATTTATTTTTTGCATGAAAGTCTAACATTGTTTGAAATTTTTTTGTTGAATAACCTATAAATAGAAGAAAATTTTCATTAATGTCAGAACAAACTAACAAACATATTACTTTTCAAACAAAATGAACCAATAAAATGAATTTTTTTAAAATCAAAACATATAATAAATAATTTATCTAAAATTCACACATTAGTATTAAAATAAGGTAAGGATTTCAAATTTTTAAAGTAGAAAATAATGAAGAGTTCGAAATAGATTCATTTACTACTTTTAGATCAAACGTTGAATTCATTGCCATACTGACATTGAAAACATGATTGATATATTCGATGACCACAACTAGCTAGCTGAATTGGATCTTTTAATATCAAATGAAGACGCCATACAACTAAACTTTATATAGAGGACATAGTTATTTTTTTTGCGTCATTACTAAATATTGTCATGAATCTGAAAGAAAAAAAGTTATTCACCAAGAGTAAAAACGTAAAATTCTAGATGGATGTAGAGCAGGCTATTTCGTATATAATATAGTTTAGAAAAAAAATTATGATTATGAATGATGAATAATTGAAATACTGCTCTATAATGATTTCAAATGCTTATTCTAGTATTTATTTCGAAAATAATGAACACATTCAAGTGTATATATATATAATTTATAGTACAGTATGACATGAATGAAAAACCTCTCAAATAAGAGAGCAACAATTTGTAATATTTTTCACAAGAAATAAAGATTTTATCATAACAATATTTATTTAATAAAATGATTTGAAATCAAACCGTAGCATTATTAATAAAACTTACTGAATAATATTAAAATTACTTTCCAAATTAATTTAAAAAGAAGCAATGGTTGAAACAAAAATAAAACTCAATTGATAATATGTAAAGTTGATTTCACAATCGAAGAACTTTATATATATATATATATGTAATGAGCTTAAAATTCTGCACTTGGTGGACTTTAACGGACAAAATGACGTCAAAACTTGACTCATAATTATAAAAAATCTTTCTCATTTTGAAATGATGAACTAATTATTTGGACAATAAATTGAAATAATCGAGAGAAAGAAAAAGAAAAAGAAAGCATGGTATTATAGATATTTACTTAGCACTAAATGAGTCATAAAAGATTGAGTAGAATTTTCCATAAGACTTTCGTAATGCATTCTGTTCAGGAAATCTATTAGAAAAAAAAGTTTAATTGAATTTGTGAAACTATCACCATTTGTATCCATAGGACTTCTATTTATTAACAGCAAATGCTCAAACTAATTGATATGAAATTCATAGGAGTTATTTTTGTGAATTATATATTTGATGAGAAAGAAAAATCAAATATTGATTAAATTAATTGATAAACATCGATATTGAACAAAAAATTAGTTTCACTAATAAATTACTTGTGACACATAGTTTACTTACTTAGATACGAAATTATTTATCAATTCACTATTATAAACTATTTATACTTGATTTAAGTTTTAAAGTAAATAAATGAACAATAATGACTTAGTATTATTTAGCGAATAAAAGTGTCATAATCATATTGACTCATTCGTGTTACTTACAAATTTCCAACTGAAAGTAGAGTCATTTATTTTTATTTAAAAACAATCAAGGACAAATAAATAAAGAGATCTTTGTACTATCCGTTATTATAATAATGATTCATTTTACATAACTCACATGATGACAATTCAACTGTAAAAAGAAAATATACTCTAGGAAGAATATATGATTTTCATATCAATAAAATCAAGAAAAAGGTTTTCTCAATAATATTACGCAATACATTTTTTAAGTTAATTTTTCGAATAACATAAAGAAAAAAAAACTATTCAAATTCCTTCGTGCTTTTTCTTTCGATTTAGATTCTTCAAATCTAATTGATGAGGGTTTGAGAGAGAAAAAAATAAATATTAATGATAAAAGAATAAAACGTGTTTTTTTTTGTCATAATTGTTTACCAATTTTTACTTTTGACTAACTTTAAGGTCAGAATAATTAAATAGAATACTAATGAATATTGATTTAATGAATTACTGTTTTACCATAGAACTATGATTTATCAAATGAAATGAAATTTTAGTTTTATTTTTGTGTAACTGAAATTAATATGAAAATTTTAACCATCATTGCATCATAAATGATTGATAAACAGCTCACGTTGTTAATTTTTCATCAAAACTGTCAGTTACCGGCAATTCATAGGAAAATCGCCGGTTTGAAGCGGTTTCTGTTTGTTTATCGATTTTTTTATAATTCTCCTTCTAAATTAATATTTTTAAGGTACATTCTTACTTTAAACACACTTCACATTGATTGGTGTAAATTACACACGCACATCACAGCATGCGGGTGAGGGCGCTGTGATAAGTGTGTTTAAAGTAAAAATCTTGCCATGGAAAAAAACAATAACATCATACGTATAAAAGACAAACAATTAATTGAATATATTCATTTATATATTCATAAGTAATTCGAAAATTGAACAAAATTTTTGCTTTTTTTGCCATAGTTATATAGAGCTCGTCAAGTTATCTTTAAAAAGGCTGTTTTTAATATATTCAGACGATATTTTTCTAGCAAAACTTAGAAAAATTAGAATAAAATTCAAATATATCAAAAACATAAATTTTCAATGATTCCAACATGTATTCGAAATGATATTTTGATTTAACTCATCATATAGTGATGAAAAAATGATTCATGATTTTTGATAAGTATTGTTCTATTGTTGAGAAAATTTATTTTTCCGATATGATAACAAAACATTATAAATAGAAATTCGTATTTTGAGATTTTGACTATTAGAACTTCGTTTCTGAAAGAAATGAATATTATATTCAGAATTAGAGCAAAAATCAAGAACGGATTAAGATAAATTCGAGTATAGAAACGATAGTTTTTTGAGTATGATACAAAAAAAGCAGCTAATTATATTTTTAGCATTTATTTTGAATGAAAATTTCGTTTTATGAGTCTTTGCTTATTGAGTTGTTGATGTTTTTCTAGTCTATTTAAAACAAATAAATATAACACAAATGATTGAAGAATACATTACAGATAATTAAGAGCTCTTATCATTCGATAAAGGAAGTTATGTCTCTGTCTTCTTATGGTATTCAATCAAATTCTTCAAGCTGAACATGATTAAATTGGTTTTTTTTTGATTTAACGTTGATACGAAGTCAAAAAGATCTAGTGTTTATACTTGTTTTTTCGATCAAAAGAATCAGTTTAATAAAGAAAATCGAATTTCAGTTCTTGCTTCCTTGTACAAATCTTAAAAAAAAAGAGTTTTGTATATCAGCTTGGCTTGAGCAATTAATTCTTGATCTATTTTGTTGAATCTCTTTGAAGACGTCTGCAAAAGAATTTGACGGTAGAAACTACACATTCTATGTCGAGGAACCATCAATTAATACTGATATCGAATTAAAGAATACAAGCATGAAGGCATTATGTTGATTGATTTCGAATGCTATCTTGGTCCATTTATTCATTTTTTCGATGCCGAGACTCAGCGAAATATGTGTCGATGACTCAATGGTCTGGTCAAATGGGCTATTGCTGATGTCAGAAAGTTTTGCATGAATGTAGGATGAGGTGACGGATGGCGCATAGCAAGTGGAAAATTTCACATTGCAGACGATAGATGATGTGAAATGATATCAGTCTATTTTGATACTGAGCTGAGGTGTTTGTATTATCAGTTTCATTTGGTGAGACATACTATTTGATTATCTATACTTTCGTTTTCATTCGTAATTCATTTTTCGTTTAAAGAAGACACCTTGATTTTACCTATAGCTATGATTTATCTTTCAGTTATTTTTGTGGCTTGTGCCCTCTACCAATCCAATACTATGTGACGAGTTTAGAAAGAAAAAAGCTCATGATAACATTTAAATTTCTATTATAAACAAAAAAAAGATCATTATAATATTGTACAAAAGAAGAATCTAAAAAGTTCAAACTAAAGTGATATTTGCAAGATAAAATTGAATTTGTACAATAATTTTATTTCGATAATAGATTGTTTGTTGTCGTTCTATCAACATTATACAGCGATTGAATGATTGTTTGAAATTGTTTTCGAGCATTCATTCGACGTGTTTTAAGTGTCATAGTGAGAAGACCATTCTTGAGTGAAAATGGCTCAGAATGAAGATAGATATTGCTTATAGTTTCAAAATATTTAAGTTTGTTTTCTTTAGCTAAACGAATTAAATCAGACAAAATAATTTGTTTCAATTTTTTTTCTTTGCACAGTTCCAAAAATGTCATTGTCGTTTGTGTTGATAGAAAATTTTTTCGTACATACTGTTCATCTGGTATAACAATAGCTACTACTGTTGCTTCTGTTGAAATTCCATCGACAAATATTTGTGCGATCCATTGAGAACGAATATAAATATCTTCAAGACGTTCAGGAGCAATATATGTACCTTGACTCAATTTAAATATATATTTTGCACGATCAATAATACGTAATGCTCCATTACTTATCCATTCTCCAACATCACCTGTATGTAACCAACCTTCTTGATCAATTGCTTCACGTGTCTTTTCTTCATCATTATAGTAACCTATAATAAAAATGAGTAAAACTGATCATAAATGGAGAATCTCTCGATGTGACAAATCGCTGTTAAGTCGAGATTATATTCATTTGATAAGCTCTA